AGCCCGCACTATATCAGCCTTGAGGTATGAAATGAACAATATGCCAGTCCACAAGCATAAAGCTGTCTCCTCAAAAATATACCACCTAAATTGTGAGCAAAAGTAACTGTTGTAAGCGAAATATCTTAAAAGGTATAAGACAGAAAAGAAGCAGCACAGTAAACAGTATATTTCAACAATTAAGTAGAAGTGTAGTGGTAGAAATTATAGTAGTAATAATATTCTTCAATTAATAGGAACTTGAAACAATTTGTATAATTGTTTTTTTCTAACCCAATAACTATTTTGTTGAATCCATCCAAGGCTTTTTACAATTTGCCAAACTCTTTTAGTGAATCAGAACTTCTAAGAACATTTTACATAAATGCATCACGAAACACATAAAACAGCTAAAGTGATGAAAGACAGATTCACACAAAGAAGTACCGACCCCATCAATCAATTTATGTGAAGTTGACTATTTGTGACATCTCAAAATTGTAAACCCACCAGAATCGACAATGATTGCCCTGACCAATACATGTCCCAAGCCAAACACAATGATGATCAAACTGAAGTACACATCGATCACAATCATGGCAATGCTTTGTTCGTGGAGGCTGCAAATGTACAAGGAAAAAAAAAAGTGGGACTAATGAAGGAAAAGTTGAAGATTAAAACTAGATAGATAAGTAGCAGAGCTGATGTGGATAAGCAACCATCCAAAATAAATTACTCATTTAAATAATTCACAGAAATAATACCTAATCCATCTATCATTTTTATAACCAGTCCAAGTTTCAGTACCAGTGCATATGTTCTACTTCATTAGACTTCATATCTTTGCAACCGAAATTGACAGGAAGTTTTGAAAGATTTACTAACTTTCCAGTTCAATTCGATAACAATTATTACTTGTGATACAGAAGGGAATGAGAGTAGATATTCTGAAGATTCTTCAGAGAGTTAATTATCAGAAAAATGTTTAGGTCATTGTTTTTCAAAAGTAGTAATCTCTAGATTTTTTTTTTTAGTTTACTTTTCTTAATATCCTATTTTTTTAGATTAAGAGATATTGTTTCTATGTCTAAGTTCATAGGCTAGTGAATAATGATTTCAAGTGCATAATCTCCTTAACAAATCACTGGTGTTCCTAAAAAGAGTTCTTAGCCACCCAATCGCAGTTCTAAGCAACTCCAAAACAGATTTTTCAAAACAATTTCCATACAGCCTCTTACTCTTCAACAAAAAAAAAAAAAAAAAATGCAAGACTAAGAGCCACCAGGATTCTAGATTGAAGCAATGATGGGAATAACACAAGAAACTGAGTAAAATATGATATAGCGTGAAGTACCTGCTCTACATGGCAATAAGAGCAGGTAAAATTTCTGCAAAACAAATCGAAAACGGTAAGCAATGATAGCAGTTACAATTTTCCTCAACTTCACGTACATGAATGATGTTCTCATATTCTATTGGAATTTTGGGCATTTAAAGAATAGTTTATTTTGCAAGTATGAAGTGGTTTAAGGTGTTATCATCCTTAAGCCCAGAAAAAAATTAGTAATTTTAGCATAGATATCAAATTGAGAGCGATAAAAGTGGATGTCCAAAATCACAGAAAAGAAAGGTAAACAGCTAAGAATGCATGTCCAATTGCAAAATTTATGTCCCAAATCGGCCTTTATTTATCAGAGTTGTGAAAACATGCATCACTTTTCCTAAAGGAATTACTTCAATCCAAGACATAGGCTTCTCGAAAAGCCAAATAGACTCCTTGACAATCCAGCTAAATTTTAGTCCTCTTCTCCATATTCAAACCAAAAATGATTCAGTTCAATATAGTCAATTAAATAAGATGACAAAACCACTGCGAACAACCATGTCATGTTAATGTGTATACATGTTATATGCAACACAACTTTAAGTCGGCTTGAGAACTACCAGATTTGACTTCTTAGACATTGAATGGAAATATAACACGTATTATATAATTAGAAACCAAAATTTTCTTCTTAAAGCAAAGTTACCTAAGTGGTGTTCGAGGGGGATACATGTCCATTACCATCTTTGTCCACGATGTTACATCTGCCTGTACATTATTTCCGGAAGGGCTCCGGTCTATAGTAACAACCACATTTACATTGTTGCTTGAAGCAGGCTGTCTTTGCTTAAACATTTAGAAAACAAATAAGTAATTTTAAATTTAAATCATATTCATCGGTTATTCTCCCACTAAATACAAAGAATGCGATACCCACTAAATACTTACTAAAGAAATGGTGATAAAACTTACTTTGATGCCTTACTAAAAGCAATATCTTTTTCGTTAGCAGCCCTCATAGCGTCGAGTACATAGCTGAACAAAAGGGGGCAAAGGAAGAAAAAGTAGTTAAATTTTCCTGGAAAGTGAAATATAGTTATATAAAAAGAGATGCCAAGGAAACACAAGATAGTGGCCTTTACCCAGGAGATGAACATGATGTTAAAAAGTATTGAATGAGGGTAGCAACGAAAAGCAACAAATATGAAGCCGTATACCTGAGAATTATGAAGGAAAAAAAAAAGATGTTGGAAACCTTTTTAAGATAGGAACAATTACAGGAAGCTATTATGCATAGTAACCAAAATGACATTACACTAACACTAGCTACCATAGATTAAGACCGGAACACCCAATAGAAAATGCCCCAAGGCCTCTCCCGTGTCGATATGTTGCAATATCTTTTTGCAAGGCTCTTGATTACTTTCTACATATTAATTTACAAAAAGAAGACAGCAGAAAGAACTCGTGTAATAGTCATAACACCCCTGTTTTGAGACCCATATCATGTTATAACCTACACACGAGACAAGTAGTCGCATATTCTAACGTCTTCGAAGTCATAGATTTCATGACCCCAAACTTTGTATGATTTAACAACCGTGAAAGATTCGTCAAGGTGAAAGTATATTGAAGCATACTCTTAGTTCCTTCTTTCTTTGGGAGGAAATATAAAAGTATCAACTCTTTAAATTTTGCGTTTTCCACTCTGAGAACCCAACTAAACTTCACATCGAAAGCTAATGCCATTCAATTGATGCACATAAAAGCTAAAGTTGACAGGTAGTAGATAGCGTAAAGTCACAAAATAAACATGGCGGCCAGTATAATCTTAGAGAACTTCCAGAAGAAAACGTAGTAGCTGACCCAATTTTTTCGAACTTAGAGACCCAAACCAAAACCAAACAACAACATACCACGGTTTAATCTTGATTTCTTCAATCAAATACCGGTCGAGTGCAAATAGAACTCCAGCATAAACAAGGTGCAGCATCACCAATGCTACTTTTAAACCCAACGAAGATCTCCGAGCTGAAACCCACTTCCCACATAATTAAAATCCACACGAAAAACACAACGGTAACGATTAAAAAAAAAAAAACAAAACAGCCATCAGACAAACGACGAAAGCCTCAAGTTCAACTAAAATTCAGACAAGGCAATGTAAATTAGTGAAGCCAAACCGCATAAAGACATGAGGAAAAGCGAAAACAACCTGCATCCATTACTCAGTTCCCATCTCACTTCCCAGAGTCTAAAATGAAGGATTCAAAGGGGAAAAGGTTTTAATACGTACCAGGATCGGAAAGACAAGGAAAAAAACGAATGTATCGGTCCATTATTCGATCCGAGAAGTCGCGTTGGTGGCAAGCATCCATGATCATCTTCAAACCATGAAGAAATGGGGGAATTTTACATCGGCGTTTGGGGCGAAGTGTTTTGTCGCAGTTTACTCCGAAATTACCATCGAAGAAGAAAAAGTGAGACTTGAACTGAATTTGCGGGAGAAAGTATAATCAATTTTAACTCGAAAACTTTTTTTAATTCTATCCTCTTCACTAGATTTTAATTAATAGTTAAATTAATGCCAAAATATTTATATATTTTTAATTAATATTTTGTTTAATAATATTAATAGAAATAATAGATTCACTGCACCAATACTATTAATTTCAATTTTTTCAATTTTTGTGAGCTTTTTACAACGTTACAACATTTATCGGTCAAAATGTAATATTGTAATTTTTAAAATATATATATTTAAAAATAAAATGTAAATTGAAGCGACAGTTAGTATTTAAAAATTTAGAACATTATTCAAATAAAAAATAAAGTGGTGAGTAAAAGTTTATTAAATAAATTATTTTTTAAATGAAATTAATAACCATGTTAATTTTCTATATAAGTATAAATAATATTACATTCCAACCTCCGAGTAAAAGAGATTACATGAATAAATTGATACCACATTCAAATGAAAGTAATTCTAAGAATAAATGGCCGTGAAATACTTAAAAATTGAAACCCACTGCCAATAAGGTACCTTTTATTTTATGTGGATCAATCATAGGAATTTTATAGTTAACCGTGCTCATGGGATGCATGTGAATGAGGTGTTGACTTGTGTTGGTCTGTGAGGATAATCTTTACTCGTAAGCTAGGAATGGTAATGAGACTATGTTGTTAGAGAATGTTCGAGATTCCAAATCTTGATTCAAATCTTGACATAGGTTGTTACTCTTACAAATATTTTTAAAAGTATCATTAACCCTCCTTATCTTTATAATAAAAAAAATAAATATTACAGTAAATATATAGACAAAAAAACATTTATTGACCCTTCATAAATTATCTCCGAACATTTTAATATTATTTTAAAGAGTTACCTAATCTTTTTTAAAATGTGGAGTTGTAAGGGTATTTTTGAATTTTTATTTTTAAAATTAAATGTATTTTGAAAGATTTTTTTAAAAAAAACAAATTATTAATGATTTAGATTTTTTTTTTAAAAGTTTAAAGTTTAGAATATTATTAAAAAAATTGAAAATTTAAATGTATTTTTAAAAAAGTGAAAATTTTTGAAGATTTATATTTAGGGATTATTCACCAATAATTTTAAAAGTAAAATTAATAATAAAGTAAGATTAGTGGCATAATCTTTTATATAATTTACTTAAAAGCATGCTTAATCTGATAGTTTTCTTATTCATGGGAGTAGAGACTTCGATTCTTTCAAGTCAAGACGAACTTTTATCCGGGTGAAGTCCAAGACTCCGATGAAGAAATCTCCTGTACGGTGGTCCGATCTGCCACCTGAACTTTGCCTGCTCATCGGAAAACGCCTCGAAACCTACATCGATGTCCTCCGATTTCGCAGCGTCTGTAAATCGTGGCGAGCTTCTCTTCCTCGTTTCGACGGCATTTCTCCTCTTTCACCTCTTCAATTCCCTTCCCCCACCAAAGCTCGCCGTGGTTACCTTGCCTCTGGCCACACCTTACTCCACCGAAGGATAATCTATTGTTTCAGTCCTCTCCATCATCATCAAACTTCTAACTCTTCTTCTTCAAGGTTGTTTACGAAGGATAAGAGCACAAAACTCGGTACAATCCGTTTTGTAGATCTGTTTTCTAATCTATTAGTTGTATTGGATGACGAAACCTTTCGGAAGGATGTAAACTTCCTCGATTTTCGAATTTATGAGGTTGCGAAATCGTATGCGCTTCAATACACTCGTGGTGGTCTTGTTTCTAGAATTACCAAGGTTATAATGTACCCTGATTCTGGTTTGACCGATCTTAGGACCAGAATCATTGTAGCAGTTTATGGAAGAGGTAAATTAGGGTTTGCAAAACATGGAGATGACAATTGGACGCTAATCGATGACGATAATTTTCACTACAACGACGTGATTGTGTACAAGGGGCAGGTTTATGCTGTTGATAAATGGGGAACAGTTTTCTGGATCGATTCATCGATGAAATCGGTACAGTTTTCTGTTCCATCGTGTGGTTTTGGGGATCAAAAACATTTAGTGGAGTGTGGCGGCGAACTCTATGTTGTGGATCGATTTCTGCGCAAACCTGATCCAGATGATTGCATACGCAATAATCCTCGCATTGTAACTGATTTCAAAGTGTACATGTTGGATCAAGATTGGGGAAGATGGGTGGATGTGAAAAATTTGGGGAATCAAGCCATTGTTTTGGGGGACGGTAGCTGTTTCTCTGTTTCGACTTCGGAAATTGAAGGGTTTCAAGCGAATTGCATATATTTTAACCACAAACAAAAAGGGAGGTTCAGCCAGGACTGTGTTCCTGCTGTGTTCGATCTCAAAGAAAGAAGGATTTTGGAAGCCTCCATCCATGGGAATGCAACAAGGTGTGGTGCGTTTCAGTGGAAGCTGTAGACTCCCAACATGGCTCTGTAGCCTCTAACCAGGTATTCTCTAAGGATCATCGGAGATAATGTTATGCACTTTTATGAATGTACAGTTTGTGTGCAGTGTAAATTGTAACTATTTTGATCCATCAATGATCATGAGAGCTTATTTGAATTGTGAACACTATGAATATGAATATAAAATACATACATTGGGAGTTTGGGACTGATTAGCAGTTCAATAATTTTGATGCCTTAGTGTTAGAGAATTTGCTAGCTTTGGTCTGAGATGGAAAGATTCCTACCTCTAACTAGGAAGGAATAAAAGTGTAATTGCTTAGATCTCACAATATCTGTTAGTGGTGGGTTTGGGCCTACAAATGTTATACGTTTGATGATATACTAGCAAGGACGGTGAGCCTCAAAGGGAGTGGACACGGGCGGTGTGCCAGTGAGGACGTTAAGCCCCAAAGGGAGTGGACACCAAACAGTGTGTCAGCGAGGACGCCGGACCTTAAAAATGGTGGATTATGAGATCTCATATCGATTGGAGAGACAAACGAGTGTTAGTGAGGATGTTGCCCCCCAAAAAGGGTAAAAATAATGGTATGAAAATTTTTCCTTAGCATACGCGTTTTAAAACTGTGAGACTGACGACAATATGTAACGGGCTAAAGCGGACAATATCAACTAGTGGTGGGCTTAAGATGTTACAGGTTTGAACACAGTTTGGGCCTTGTAGTAGGTGCGGGTGCTTCTAGCTATAATAAGGGATCTCGAACCAAGCTTTGTGTCAGGTGACTCCACATTTGACACGCCACAGTCACAAACGAAACAATAGATTATGTTCATGAATGATTTTAAAATGGTTAAAATCACTCGCATAATAAAGTATTTTTTTAAAAAAATATATGTTTAAAAGAAATAAAGACGACTACACTACCCCAATCATTGAATTTGTTTATTTATTTATCTATTTATGGGAATTCCATGGACAGGATTGATGCAATCCCAGTTCCATCCACGAATTAAAAATGGACAACGGAGTGCGGTGGTCGGAACTCCCGCCGGAGATATGGTCGGCAGTCGGAAAACACCTTCACAACTACATCGATGCCGTCCGATTTCGCAGCGTTTGCCGATCATGGCGGTCCTCTGTTCCTCCTGTCCCCAAAGTATCTCCTCCTATTCGTCTCCGATTTCCCTCCCCAATCAACACTGCAAGTCTCTTCGTCGACGCCTTCCTCTCCCAAAGTACCTTCTATCGTCTCGCTCCTCTCATCCACGAACAGAGCCCTAACTCGTCTTCCTATAACCAGAATGGCCGACTGGTGAAGCTGGAGAAATCGGAGCTCGGTAAGATGCGGTTTCTTCATCCTCTGTCCAAGCGCCGAATCCGATGCAATCCGGAAGAACACAAGGAACTGAACTTACTGGATCTTCGAATCGACGAATTAGCCATATCGTATTCGCTCAAATACACTGATACTGCTTGTGTTCCTGGAATCGCTAAAGTCGTGGTGCTCCCTACATCCACCGGACCAGACGTTGAAGATTGTACTGTAATCGCAGTGTTTGAGGACGGGAAGTTAGGGTTTGCCAGATGTGGAGACGAGAAATGGACTCTAATCGACGAACAGAATTTCCACTACGACGATGTGATTGTCTACAATCGGCAGTACTACGCAGTCGATAGATGGGGAACTGTTTTCTGGATCGATTCCTCGATGCGATTGGTACAATTTTCTCCCCCTCTGATCGGTCTTGGCCAGCAGAAGCACTTGGTGGAGTGCGGCGGCGAACTTCTGGTAATCGATCGGTTCCTCGACAAAGAGCGTTCGGTTCAACATCCAACCGATATCATGGACGACGCACATCCTATAGCGATTCCATTTCGACGGCCGGATAACGATTCTTCACCAAGAGCAGTCGATTTCAAGGCTCATAAGCTGGATCAAGAATGGGGGACATGGGTGGAGCTGAAGAATTTGGGGAATCGATCAATTATATTGGGGAACGACTGTTGTTTATCAGTTGAAGCGTCGGAATTTGAAGGATGCAAAGAGAATTGCATTTACTACGCCGATGTTAACGACAACGAGTTCTCTAAAAGAAGTTGCAGCCGTGTGTTCGATCTTGAAGGAAGAAGAATCGGAAACATATTGGGTTATCCTGGACGCATCGGAATCTTCAGCCCGCCGCCGATTTGGCTCTCCAAATCCCTTCCCCCTCTGAAGGTCCAATTCAATTCCATTTTGTCTCAACTTTCTTAAATTTTCATTGATAGTTTCTGAGCTTTCTTCCACAACTATTGTAGGACATCCTGTTTGCTGGCTCTCCACATCGCCATGAAAACTAGCAGCTGGAAGGAAACTGGCGTCTGGATCATCAAATATCACAATTTGAACCAAGTATGCTTTCTTCGCCATTTCTCTGCAAACATACCGATCTTCTTGTTTCTGATCTTTCAATGGGTGCAGAGATTCACTCATATTAATCGATGCAATTATCATCTTTCAATGAATCATTTATTATAAGAGTGTGGTTTGGAGTGTTACAAATAGTATTAGAGTCAGTCACTAAACAATGCTAGATACTAGTTAGAGTAGTGCTAAATTCTCTCCATAATAGACACGTTTTAAAATCGCGAGACTGACGGCGATACATAACCGACCAAAACAAATAATATCTGCTAGTAGTGAACTTGAATTGTTATACATCATCTACGTACCAATTATTGTGCTCACATGTAGTCAAGTGCCAAGTGGATAGTTAATGAAAGTATCTATCAACGTCTAAGTAGTAAGCCCACATCAAAATGTCGTGTTCTAAGTGCTCTCCTTTGACTTTTCTTTGACTTTTCAAACTTGCAAGGATGAGCTCTAGTGAAGGGTGTTCGGGTGCTCTCCTATTTGACTTTTCAGAGTAGTTATGTACTCTCTAGGGATGGAGCCTAGTCAACGATTGCGCATTTGTTTTTAATTAAGAAAAAAATTATTTGAAACATAATATTTTGTGTATTATGTATATATATATATAATTAAATTCACTTAAATCATTAATTACTGTAATAATCCAAATTATACCACTAAACGTGGGCTATATATACGCTTAAACCCACCTACACCCTTTTAAAACTCCAACTAAACGCCCAAAAATAGTATATATGTACCGATTTACGGCGATTTTTTTTTTATTTTGACTCGGTGGTTGTTCCCCGCATCATTCTCAAAGCGGCGGAGCAGATTCTTCTCGTCCGATGGACGACAGCTGTGTACAGTGGTCCGATCTCCCTCCTGAACTTTGGACGGTCATCGGAAAATACCTTGATAGCTATATTGATGTCCTCAGATGTCGCTGCATCTGCCGATCACTGCGTGCTTCGTTTCCTCCGTTCAACGACGTTTCTCCTGCTCTACCTCTCCACGTCCCTTCTCCTTGTAATGACGACGCCGAGTATCCAATCAGATACAGTATACTCACTCGAAAGATAATCTATCGCCTCAGTCCCCTCGCTTTCCATCAAACTAACGCGATTTCTTCATCTGCGGCGGCGAAGGGATGGTTTGCCGTGGTAGAGACTACACAGAAAGGTAAATTCCGATTTCTGGCTCCTGCTAAACCGTCTAATCTTCGATTAACCTTCGAAACCTTTCGGAAGGAAGTGAACTTACTGGAATTTCGAATTCACGAATTGGCTAAATCGTATGTGCTTGTAAACACCGAAGGCGTTTGTGTTCCTGAAATTAGCAAGGTCGTAATGTTCCCCGATTCTCTCTGGATCGACGCGAAGAACTGCACCGTTTTAGCGATGTACAAAAACGGAAAATTAGGTTTCGCTAAACTTGGAGATGAGAAATGGACGTTGATTGAGGAACATAATTTTGACCGCGGGGATGTGATTGCGTGCAGGTGACAGTTCTATGCAGTTGATAGAAAAGGAATAGTTTTCTCGATCGACGTGGATGAAATTGGTGCTGATTTCTCCTCCATTGTGTAGCTCAGGTAAACAGAAACATATGGTGGAGTGTGGCGGCGAGGTTTACGTGGTGGATCGATTCGATGATGTGAGTGACACTGAGACTGGTTCCAGTGAGAGCGAGAGTGGGAGTGAGAGTGAGGAAGAAGAAGAAGAGGATGAAGAGGACGAGGAAGATGAAGAAGCAGAGGAAGAAGAAGAGGAAGAGGTTGAAATCGAAGTGTATAAAGTGGACTTGGATGATGACTACCTAAGAAGAAGATTGGAGGAGGTGGAGAATTTAGGGAATGAAGCGTTGTTCTTTGAGGAAGAGGGAGAGCAGTTTCTCTGTTCCGGCAACAGATTTGGAAGGAATTCAAGGGAATTGGAAAATTAGCAAAAGTTTTTTTTTTTTTTTTTTTTTTGAAGTTTATGAATTTTGACGCAAAGGTATTTTTCTACAACACTTAATTGTACTGAAATTAATGAGTTTAGAAAGATTTTTACATTATTTTCAAATAAAATAAGTGAGTTGATTAACAATAATTGAACATGAGTTAAAATTGTAACATTTCTTTTAAGTTCAAAGTCTCATATGATGAAATTGAAAATTTTATGTTTAAAAAAAAGTAAATATAAATATAAATAAATAAATATATATATATTGCATACGTAAAACTTGCTAGAAGTTTGAATGGGTCTGTGGAAGTAGGTATATTGAAAAAAAAAAAAAAAAAAAAAAACTAAAAAAACGTTTTTTAATTCTTAAAGCTGGTTGGGATATTGAAAATATTCAAAAAAAAATAGATAATGAAGGAACCAAAAGTGTCTAGATCAATACGGTCTTAATTTCTATTCAAATTCAAAGCATTTTATGAAATGTCTAAAATGCCAATGATAATACTGTAACTTTTGAAACACATATGGGGGGCAAAGGTCATAACTACTCTCATAATTTAACCAAAAATAAAATTTTAAAATTTAAAACTTGTTTAAAGAAAACCAAATTTGAAGGAGAAAAAAAGAGATTTAGATGGAAAAGGATAAAAGGAAGTGAGAAAAAGAAAAGTTATGTAGGGATAATTTGTTTATCAAACAAAAAAAAAAAAAAATAAATAAATAAATTGAGAAATGGTAGTATTACCAAGCGGTCAGAAAGTCTCCTTTCTAGCTTGTGCTGCAAGGGAATTTCACCCATCGGCCGTCAAAAGTGATCATCCTAGACCTGAATTTTGATGGGGCTGTGAAAAAAAAAAAAAAAAAAAAGCTCTAGGGATTGCACTTTTAATGGAAGTTGGCATCTGGTTAGAAGTAGCCAGTGATAAAATGTTCTCAAATTTATGAAACATCAATGATCATGACAGAGTTCATTTGTATAGTTGAGCTATTCCGATTTCCTGATGATGCCACACTATAGGAGGATTGAAGAGCAGAAAGAAGCATTCTTAACTGCATACACACAAGGATAACTAAGAACATACACACAAGCACACCAGGAGTTAGGAATGCTTGGCAGTCAAATATTTCTTAACTGCATTTGTAGATTGATAAGCAAAATACTTCTGCCGAAGAATTATATAAGGATAACTAAGGAATGATAATATGTGGGCAGGCTTTGAGAAGGAAAGAATTTCATACCACACCTGGCTGTTCGAGTCCATCTCGATCGAAAACCGTTCTTCACCGGCCTGGAATGGAGAGAGTTCAAGATCATATTAGTCACACTAGTCAATTATATGATTCAAAATGGGATTAAAACCTGGACTATCAAGTACATTAATACGAAAATTAGCCTGGAAAAAAAGTTAATGATGGACGAACCAGAAGATGGCCTTGAAGGGTACCACTGCCAAAGCTGAAACATGTCCTAGCCATATTGGTACCTCTGTTTTCATTTACATATACAATTTGAAGAGGCATCACCACCCATGGAAGGAACTCCTTGGCACAGACACAAAACTTCACTCCCGGATGAACTGGCGTTGATGAATCAACAAATGCCCAATTCAACCCAAAATGCCTGCAAAATTTGCACTGGGTTAAAGAGACCAAGAATTCTCATCTAATACGTTACTGTTCAACCAAAAGGTATATAGCCAGAAAACCTCCAGTTCTGAAGAGCTTTCTTCCCCTTTTCATAAGTCTCAACACCAGAACCCACCAAAATACGAGCATGGTTGAGAAGAAAACCTTCTTGTGAGAGCCCCTTATCTTCTTGCAGGCAAGAGCTGGGATTAGCAGTAGCTCCTCTAAACTTGCTGCTATAGTTGAAGGAACCAGACCTAATGATGAACATCATGTAACATTCCACTTAGAAAAGGGAGACAGGCATATCTCTATGAGAGTTTTCTTTTTCTTTTTTCTGGCTAGGGGTGGGGGTTACGATCCTATCGTTCTTGCCTGTCAATGCACGTCTTCTGCTCCTGTGGAGATGGACGAGACCAACACAGGAAGACCATCTTTATCACCAACAGCAATATCCTTCAAACAAAATGTCTTACAAAATAAGCCACTAATACGGAGCATATGGTTCAAAATTCTTCAGCGTTTGCACGAATTTTTATCAGATAAACTCATAAACAGGCTAGCTCAAAAAAAAAAAAAAAAAAACGATTCAGGATTTTAGTTTCCTTCACCACCAAAGAGTTTTCACAATAACACAGGAAAATACGATCCATGATCCAATTAAATCAAAAACCTCGGAATGATATCTCATCTTGATTCATTTTCGTAGAAGAAATTTGATCCAAACAGCTAAAGGATTCGAATCTAATAGACGAATAAATAGTACGAAATCTTATAAGAACGGACAATTTCATGCGCGTCGATTGAGACTTCCGAAACAGAAGCAGTCAAAATCCAAAATTCGAACAAGAAATCTGTAAGAAGAGAAGTTGCGGATTCGACATAAGAGATTAGAAACGAAGCAAGCGGAAGAAGATACATACTGGATTGCAATTACTTCAGCTTCGCTACTTCTGCGCTACCGCGGTTCTCTGAATCGCTAGCACAAAAGATAGAGCGCGAGAAAATTGGTAGCGAATAAATAAAATAGTTTTTTAAAACAAAGAAAAACAATTATTTATTCCTTTGATAAATTATTATAATATACTTAATAAAATTATTTATTGTCATCATAAATATTAGGGTTATAAATGTTTTCCATATTTTAATAATATAATAGTGATATAATTTAGTATGCCTCAACTAGTAAAAATATTAATATATTATAAGTTACAAATCTCTACCACAAATTGATATTATTGTCCAAAAAAATCATCGAGTTTTCAATTTCCTCCGTACGTTTTAATTCAGATTTATGAACGGAAAAATTAATCAGTCAAGTCAGAAAATATAATGTCAACAAAGAAAAAAATGTATCAAAGCAGCCAATACTCGAGGCGACGACTAGTAGTTCAAACCAATCATCTTATATTAAGGTAATCCGTATTTATAACCAACATTGTATAGTGAGAATACATCGAGGAAACCAACAACAACATGCTCGAGAGTAATTTTGAATGTATATGCTAATCGTGAAAATTTTGAAACGTTAATAATAGTCTCATTGTTATAGATCTACTTGTAAAGTCCAATAAGTTTTCAATAAAGTTATAAATTTTTTATTTTTCATATTTTAGAATCTCTATAAAAGAAAATAATTAACGAAGCTATAAAACTCCACTTTACATAATTACTTTCATAATATAAGATCTCAATAATAGAAAAATCCACCAAAAAAAAAAAAAAAATTAGAACAATTTAATTTAATCCCTACTACGAAAAATTACATCAAAATTAAACATCAATTTTATGACGCAACGACTTAGTTTTTATCGTCAATAAACATGTTTGATGGAGACTAGATGATTAAAAATGTATAAAATTTAGGGACTAAATTACTAAAAATCAAAAAGTTGAAAGTAGCAAATGAAATAATTAAGGTGCTAAAATGTTAATCTTAGGAGAGACCAAAAAAGATGCTCACATTGAAACTGGTCATATTTCCATTACTATAGCCTGTAAGTATATACGTGAGAAGAGCAATAGCAAACCTCAGATTCCCTATTTCCTTCATGAGTGATCGGGGTGGCTTAATTTATACTGCAAGAGAACCAACTTTGCTGGGTATAATAATCATGTCATGAAGTGATGAGATAGATATCTACAATCTATAAATGGCTATTGAACTGATATAAACAGATGAAAATGTGAAAGAATGTTCTAACTTATCCCATCAGGCTTAAATCCTGAAATTTCTGCGAGCTCTGACAGATCTTTCTCCCCACTCAAAACCTGCAGGAAACCAGAATTTGATGATACAATTAGAAGAAAAAACATCCTAACAGGATGCGAAGAGAACATGTAGCTCTAGCTCAGACAGTTCATAAAACTTTTACACCAGAAAAGAAGGATCCAGAGAAATGTTTATGGAGGCGATTGGTTGCTGCTACTCTAAGCACCTTGTTTCTAGTTCTCTATGATCCCCCGTGCAATAAGTACCAAAACACAGATCTTAGGGATATTCTTTTCACGGGGATACTTTTACACTCTCGAGCGACCTGTTCTAAAAAAGTCGAGGCATATCTAGAATCTCACTCGTATCTCTCTCTTACTGAATTCTCTCTAAAACTACCTATCTCTATCAATATATATGAGATCCCACTTCGGTGGGAGAGGGGAACAAAACATTCTTTATAAGAGTGTGAAAATTTCTCCCTAACAGACGTGCTTTAAAACCTTGAGGGGAAGCCTAGAAGAAAAAGTCCAAAGAGGACAATATCTGCTAGCAGTGGACTTGTCCGTCAATATATGTGTGTGTGTAGTGGTGGTTAAATTTAGTGCAATCGAGTCTAGCAAGTACAATAAGAAAAATAGTGACACGATCATAGCATTCTTAAGTGTCCTGGAATAGTATCCATAGGCATGCAATGGAACATTGCTAATTATAAAGATTGCACAGGAATGTAAACAAAATGCCCCTTAACTTATTATGCTTTTTTACCTGCCCGTTAATCACCCATGTTGGGAAGCCTTCAATTCCAACTTCTGAACAAGCTTTCTCTATCTTAGTGCCTTTATGATACCCATTGGGGAAACATTCTACATAGTCTAATAGTTTTGCTGCCTCACGTCCAAACATCTGTGTCGACAGCAAGATAGCATATAATTGATAGTCATTGTCTTACTTGCAAGCAAATTCATGAGCCCAACGGTAAAAATGAAGCAGTAGTGATGATCACATGTAATGTCAAAAGTCTATTTATAGTTTGATAGTGTGGCCGTGAAGGCTCAGATAAGTGCCACCGCCACAAGATTATTTTATCGCATTACTCAGTCAAGTCATTACCATTTTACAAATGGAGAAAGTACCTCTTTCTGTTCTACACAATGTGAACACCAAAAAGCTCCATACATTTTGGCCCCGATAGAATGCAGATGCCTCGCAAGGGAAATGGACAGAGCGTTTGAGGAATTTGTTAACTCGGTTTCGAAGTATGGAAGGTCAAGTTCAGCAGCACTGTAAAGTAAAACAAACAAAAAAACTTCACATAAATTATAAGAAAGGAAACCAAAATGAAGTCATATATCTATTACAAAATAGTAATAGGAAAATGAGTATAGATCATCTGAGATTTGAATATATATATATATCAACCAAAAATGGATCTCATGTTCCAAAGCAATATTGAAATGATTTATAACTTCAGCAACACCAAATATCATGATAGCTCCTAACTAAGATCAAAAGAATTAGCATTCTAAGGTCCATGATGACAAGAAATCAAAAACAAGGATGCATACTTTTCTCTTCCGCTCAGCAATTGAGAAGTATAGACATCAAAAGTCAAACGCCCAATTGTTAAAGAACACATGAACGAATGAGAATAGCCCTTTAGCTATTTCAAGATCTTTTGTAACACACACCTTTGAGAACTAGGTAGGGAACCATTATATGAGGTCGAAAGGGTGATAAAAACCACGCTAGCGATAAATATCTGAGAGCCCAATCGTCTCATAGACTCTTGCAATCCAAAATCCTAAGCCATCACCGCAAGAAAAGTTCAGAAATGTATGAATCAACAATAATCTTCCATCAAAAAGATACCCAAAATGCAAAGCAAACATAAATAAAAGTAAAAGACCTTCAGAACGGCAAAGAACAAGCTGAATGACAACAGAGCGGATACTAGGCAATATGAGCATGTCACTCCTGAAAATTTTGTGTTCAGAATGTATAGAAAGTATGCACTGGCAGTAGCCATAGAGGTTGTAGCGCCAAACATGACTAAACGACCATCAGATTCATCAATACCAAAAGGCAATTTCTTTGCTGCCAACTGCAAACTAATTGCTCCTACTAAGCCATACGCCACCATTCCAATCAATGGCAGTGGTACACCTTGTAATTGCAAAAGCATAGTTATTAACAGGCAATATACACAAAATTTCCAAGAAAAAATGGAGGGGAAGACATGAGAATAGATGCATTGACCAACAAAAAAGGAGATTTGTTAGTCAAGTAAAACGATGAATTAGATTAACAGATTAAAAAAAGATACCAAAAACAGCAGCATAATCACTGTTAAGAACGTTGTCGCAGCTTCCACCACCAATTGGGCAAAAGGCAGCTGAATCAGTGAGCTTGACGTAACTCAAATACGCAGTTTCAACGAATCCAACCCCGCCCAAAGCAGCACATAAATTATCCGTCAAATTACTCAAAATTGATGGAGAAGAAGAAGAAGCTGATGACGTTGACTCAGCTTCCGGCTCAGTATCCTGATTAGTTCCATTGGACAAGCAAAATACAGGCACCACAAGCCGTCTCCGAATCAAATCTCTTTGGTGCTTGAAAGAATCACATCTTTGATGAAAAAGAGAAAGATTCTGGCGAGTACAAGGTCTCGTAAACGAGCATGGAAGACAGGGTAGAGTGGCGGAGCACGCCATTTCCTCCCGATAGTACGCAACCGGGAAATGAAAGAGAGACGAAGACGAGCTTCCAGTGACGATGAAAATGCAGAAATTGAGGCCCATTGGGCCTAATGGCCCAATAATCATATTGCCTTTTTCACTATTGATATTTAACCACACAAGTTTTACCAGACGTGAAAACACTCATTTTTTCCTTTTGTTATTTTTTATTTTTCTCATTTTTTTTCTTCTTTTATTTTTCATTTAGTTTTGGTATAAATAATTCTTCAATTTATTTATTATATTAATTATTTATAAATAATTTATATAATTTTATTAAATTCATTTATTTAAGAATGATATATGAAATAAAAGTAAATTTTAATTAGTTAAATTATTTTAATAATTTAATTCGATAATAATAAAAGAACCAACCACATTTAATTAATAAAACTGTAAAAAATAATTGTAGAAACAAACCCAAATACTATTTATGTGTATAAAATATTATTTAGAGAAGTTAGAAATAGAAATAATAACAATAAATAAATAAAAGTTATATATGTTACACTTTAATTGTAATATTTAAATTAAATTAGTTAATTTTGAGGTAATATTTAAATCAAAGATTATATTATATTTTTTTTTAATGGTTAAGTAATACTAAAATTTGAATTTTTAGAAATTATTTTAGTAGAGCTGATGAAATATATTATTAAGATTTTTTTTATAAATTTTTAATTAAAAAAAACTATATTAAAAATGAAAATTTTAAAATAACTATTTTATTTAAAGTATTCAAGTAAAATGAAGAATTTTGCAAGACAGAATAAAACACAATTATTTTTTAAGGACAAATTATGTTTTTAAAAAAATAATCCTATTTTTATAATATTCATATTTTGTTTCAAAATTACAATATTATTTTTAATATTTATAAATATTTCAAAGTATAAAATATTTAAAATTTAAAATGATATATTATTATTTTCATTCGAAATTGAAAAGTAGTTTTGAAATTTTTATTAAAAAATAAAGAATAATATTAAAAAGTATAAAGGTGCGAACACTTTTTATTATTTAACCTCATTTTATTTAATTCTTGAGTTTAATGATTTTCATCATCATTTTTATTTCATTTATAATATTAATTAATTCAATACATCAACATCTTACAAAATTTAATATATGTCCACGTCACCATGTTATTACACGTATTCAAAATTTCAAATAAAATGTTGATAAGAATTAATATGGGCGAGGTGCTTTCAAATCATGTCCAAAATTGATTTTAATTTTTTTTTCTTTTCTAAAAAATAATAAAACAAACTAGAAATAAAATCTTTTAAAATAATTATTGGCCATATTATATTTTTTTATATTTATATAAAAAAGAAAAAAATGTTCAATAATTGGAAGGTTGAGAGAAATATCTAGATGGTTGACGAGTGGGTATGGCTCCGCCAGCCACGTGTAGAAGATAGGAACCACTGGAGGCTTTGATATGTGTGCAAAAACTAATCTAAATTAGAAAGAGATATTTAACCTCGTGGCTCAGCGTCCTTACTGGTACTTGTTTCTCACTCTAAACGATATGATATCTTATAATTCACTCCTCTTTGGAGCCTAACATTCTTGCTAGTACACTACTCGATGTCTAGATTTGATATCATTTGTAATTACTCAAGCCCACCGTCAGCACATATAGTTCTCTTTGTACTTTCCCTTTTGAGCTTCCCTTCAAGATTTAAAAATGTATTTGTTAGAGAAAAATTTTCACAATTTTATAAATAATGCTTCATTTTTCCTACAATTGATGTGAGATTTTACAATTCACTACCTTTTAGGGCACAATGTCTTCACTGACACTTATTTCTCTCTCCAATAGTTAATAAAAAAGTTATTAGTCTTTTATAAATATACGCGAAAATTAACCAAAGTATTATGTAATATATAAAATATAGATTCGAAACATTACATATACTTTTTCATGGATCAATCTATTTCGTTCTTCCTATTGAGCTACGAGCAAGAATAGATACTCAAGATTGAGCTACCAGCATGAATAGATACTCGATTGAACAGTAGTACGAGTTATAAAGAATCTTGATCTAAAGCTACGAAATCGGTACTTTTTTTTTTTATTTTCGAGCGTAAAAATTGCAAACAGCATGGTAAAAAAGTAAAGAAAGTGGATGAGTTAGGATAAAAGTTGTAAGTGATGTTCATATGGATGGATGGTCATGGCTGAGGCTGACTACCTTTGAAACTTATCCACTCAATTTGGTTACGTGAAGATCCAAACAAAGCTGTTCATAAAATGGCGTGGCATTCCCATCACTCCCATACCCTAATTCCATTATATATCTCCTCCCCTTCTTCTCCCTCTCATCCTCTCAAAACTACAATCTTCTTCTTCTACTACCATCGATCGCTCGACCCGACCATGTCTCTCGCCTCCTCCTCGTCTTCCATCGTGTCGTCCACCTTTCTTCTTCGTCCCGACAACACCAATCTCACTTCAAGGTATCTTTGACATCTCTCGTTCAAATCAATTGAGTTATATTCAAGTTTATTTTTAATGGGAATCTTTTAAAATTATCTAATCTAATAAAGTAACGATTTTATTATTAGAGGGAGGTTGTTGCTAATCACAGGTTCGCTACAACGCCACCGGAGAGACACTACCATCAGCCATAAACATTGGAGCACCAGGTAAATAAAAGCCGCTCTTAACAATTTGAACTTATACCCTAGACTTTTAGTCGAAAATATATATTAAATTTCGATAAATTTAATATAGTCGGAATGCTGTTCTGAGAGAAGAGATGGAAGCAACAGCGGTTCCGACGTCGGTGCCGGTGCGTGTAGCTCTCGAGCTTCTTCAAGCCGGACAGCGATACTTAGACGTAAGAACCCCTGAAGAGTTCAGCGCTGGGCATGCCCCTGGCGCCATTAACATCCCCTATATGTACAGGGTAGGATCAGGTATTTTTATTTATTTATTTATTTTTCATTATAAATTTTAATAAATTTTTAAATGGTTTTAATATAATTTTTTTTCCAAAATTTAAAAATTAAATTAATTTTGCAGGAATGACGAGGAACCCACATTTCTTAGCTGAGGTGGCAGTTTATTTCAGAAAAGAGGATGAAATTCTTGTTGTAAGTTTGATGGTTTAATTAATGAATTAATGAATTAATGAATTAATTAAATTGTTTTTATAAATTAATATTGTGAATTTTAATGGATAGGGATGTCTAAGTGGGAAGCGCTCTCTAATGGCTGCAGCTGATCTTCTTGCTTCGGTAAGTCTTTTGCTTTTTATTTTTTTATTTTTAAAAATAAATATTTTAAAAATGTTGAAAATGATTATATAATAAGCATTAGGTGAATGAGCCATTAAATAAATAATTGAAAGTGTGAGGAGTTAGATAGTAATTAGAGGAAAATATAGGGAGTAAAGTGGAAATTTAATTAAAATGAAATAAAAATAAAATGTTGAGAAGGGATTTAATTGAAATGAATTATGTGTAGGGGTACGGGAACGTGACGGACATAGCGGGTGGATATGAAGCTTGGTCCCGCAATGGACTGCCCATGGAATTGTAAATATTTTTGTGGACCTCACCTTCCCCTAATTTTGTACAGCCACCACAATTTTATTTAATATAATCTCCACAAAATATCATATATTTTTCAATATATATATATATATTAAATGTCGGTTTTCATAGGTTACATCGTTGGTCACATTTCTCAACTGGTTAGCTCAAACCGGTTAAACTGTATGTCTATTTTCAGTATGGATTAATTTTGTAAATTTTAGTTTGTTTTTTAATTTTGTGAGTTAGGATTATAATGAAAATATTTATATCTTAATAAGTTTCAATATTATAATATTGTAATATATCTCTTAATAAATAAAATTATTTTTAAAAATTGATTAATTGAAGAACTAAGTTTCTGAATAAACATTTAAAAGATGAATTATATAAAAATAATATAAAATGATTAATGGATAATATTCAAATATGTGGCAAAAAAGAAAACTGTTAAAACAAAAATTTGGAACATAGAAAAGAAGATTTTATAAAATAATAGAAATGTTAAAAATGATTAATAAAATAGTACGAAGAAAACAAAGAGAGGGCCAATCAGAACGTTACCACCAATGATACAGCTCCTGAACTCATTTTTCTCATATATATATATATATATATATATTTAATTATGTAATTATTTATAATTCTTTTCAGTTTATGGAAGATAATTTTAAAATAATAATTGATATTGATTTCATTTTTAACTATTGGAAGGAATATTTTGAATCTTTATAGTATAATTAGAATTTGATATTCTAATAAATATTTTAGAAAATAAAAAAAATCAATTAATTAAATTATGTTATAATCATAAAAACAGATAGTTAACTTAATGGTAAGTTTGGTTCGGTCCACCTCCTCGAAAAAAACTATAATACATCTTTCAAAATTCGTACCAATTGACTTTTCCATATTCAAATAAATTGTCTAAGTGTTCTTGACTTTGTCTCATTATCGAGAGCTTAATCAATTTATTTCACCTCTACTCTTAAAATTACAAAAAATAAGGAAAAAAAAAAAAAAAAAACTAGCTCGTGCTCCTTTCTTCTCCTTCAACATCGACGTTGATCCTCCGACATTTTTACAATTTTTCTCAACATCTTCAATAATTAAAGAATATTGATGACACCTATTAAAGTATTTTTCTTCCTCCTGTGGGGCATTTTAGGGATACCAGGACACGAGAAGCCAAGAACAGGGAGATTATACCAATGGAACATTCCCAAGCCAACTGCCAAAAACTGAATCTTATTTATTATGTTATATTCCCACCGCAGCTTCGAACGAAAATACAGTCCGAATTCCCTTTCTCCTATGAGTTCCTGTATGCTTCAAGACCATGGCTTGCGCCCGGGGCTTGCTGCTGCAGACCAATCAATTCCCTACTGGAACAACAAGGCCGACAATGCATGGCAGCTCACGGCAGCCACCATGGTCGGCCTCCAAACTGTTCCGGGGCTGGTCATCCTCTACGGCAGCATGGTGAAGAAAAAATGGGCTGTCAACTCCGCCTTCATGGCACTCTATGGCTTCGCTTCTGTGCTCGTCTGTTGGGTATTGTGGGCACATCGTATGGCATTCGGTGACCGATTGTTCTGGCTCATTGGTGTGCCAGGTGTAGCGCTGTCTGAAGGGTACCTTCTTTCACATTCTACACAAGGCTGTTTCCCAATGGCTGACTACGTGTTTTTCCAGTTCGCTTTCGCCGCCATTACTGTCGTGTTGCTCGCCGGGTCCTTGCTGGGAAGGATGAATTTTGGTGCATGGATGCTTTTTGTTCCAATGTGGCTAACTGTTTGTTACACTGTTGGGGCATTCTGTATATGGGGGAATGGGTTTATTCAGAAGTACCTCATTGATTACGCCGGCGGCTATGTCATTCATCTTTCTTCTGGGGTGGCTGGTTTCACTGCCGCTTACTGGGTAAATGATCTACAAAAACAAGTTATTACCTTCTCTTTGCTGTGATCTTCCTTCTCTGTATGCTTTGTATCAAGTTGTAGTGATGATGGTTTCTGATCTGTTGACCGTGCCCACAGGTCGGGCCACGACACTCCCGCGACAGGCAGAGCTTCCCACCAAACAACATACTGCACATGGTATTCGGTGCAGGGTTTCTTTGGCTGGGTTGGACTGGATTCAATGGAGGAGCTCCATTTGCAGCGGGTCGGATTACATCGCTAGCCATTTTGAACACGCATATTTGCACTGCAACAAGTCTGTTGATCTGGGTTTCAATGGACATCATAGTATACAAGAAAAGCTCTGTGATTGGTGCAGTTCAAGGGATCATCACTGGCCTTGTCTGTATCACTCCTGGTGCAGGTTAGTCCTTTCACCCATCCTAGAACAGAAAGAAAGAAAGACATAACTGCTAATTTTACCTTACCTCAAGAATCCAATTAGAAGCAGGGTATATGGTTTACATGAACAATAGGGCTTGTGGACTCAGTCGCAGCTGTGGTGATGGGCGTGCTTGCTGGTTTGGTTCCATGGTACACCATGATGGTGCTGCACAGGAAGCTGGCATTCCTTCAGTGTGTCGACGATACTCTGGGTGTCTTCCACACACATGCTGTGGCTGGCTCCATGGGAGGACTCCTCACAGGTTTCTTTGCTAAACCCAGCCTTCTGAGAATGATGTATCCAGATTCTCTATACGGTCCAGGCTTCCTGTATGCCATCTCCAATAGAAAGCTCAAAGATGGCCTCAAACAAATTGGCATCCAGTTCGCTGGAGCAGTGTTTATCACCCTCTGGAATGCCATCTTTACCAGCATTATCTGTTACCTGATTAGCCATATTGTTAACTTAAGAATGAAAGAAGAGGACCTGGAAATAGGCGACGACGCTGCTCATGGAGAAGAACCCTATGCATTGTGGGGCGACGGAGAGAAGATGCCATCTTCATTTCGTCTTCCACACACCCCTAGGTTCCCATCATTATGCAGGTGGGATTAGGAGAACCAGATTTTGCAGTAATTCTCGCTGCTGCTGTAATCACTCCAGCTCAGGGGTCTTCCGGCGGCATTCCTGTAAATATAGCTTATCAACAGGAAAAGAATAGCTGTATTCATTATTCGTTTAATGACAGTTACAGCAGCCAAAGACGAATAATTTCCACCTAGCTATAATCAGAGAAATTTTCAAACACATTCCACACTTCAATAAACTAGTTTGTACCTCCTCTTCATACTTTGAAGGGATATCATCAATAAGAAAGCTACAGCTCTTCGAGTTCATCCATTAAGTTCATAACTTACGTCAATAAAACGTGTATATACTTCAAGATTTTGATTAGTTACAACAGATACAAAACAAAGGGAAGGGGTTATTACAACTTTCAACATAAAAAGAAAGATGAATATGACACTCATCGGGCTTCCCATGCCATAATCATCAGTCGGTTATTGATATAGACGCATTTGCTCTGCGGGAAAGCTCACGCAGAGACATGTTTCTAGCTCAGTTTGCGATGATTTCACTTTCTTTGTGCTATTTGCTCTGATAGAATGATCTAGCAAAGAACCCAATGTTGAACAGTCGCACGGCCAATATGGGACTCGGACAACTATGGCACACCAAACATGATGATAGGCGATCTTCCAGAGCGTAAACAAGAGTTACTCAACTAATCATCTCTGTCATGAAGGCAGTTTACTTGGCTTTGGAAGCTGTTTCAACAGCTTTATTAGTTCATAAGTTTTTGTGTCTTGACCAGAATAGAGGCAAATGTCCAATGGGGTTAACCCTTCCTGGAATGCAGTGACCCAAGATGTATGTTAAAAGAGCATTTAAACTTATCAATATATTCTAACTTAGCTCAGACGATATACAAGTAAATCAGCAAGAATATCGTGCGTTACAGGAAAGATGTAGAATAGCACAAACGAAGAAAAGCAAAACATTATAATGTTCATGCCAATTAGAAACTTAACGATATTTACCACATTTTTTAGTGTCTTATCAGCTCCTTTAATTAATAGAAGCCTGACTACATCTGTTCGACGAGCCTGAACAGCAAGATGCAGCGCCGTCCACCCATCCTGGGAAGAGTATGATAAGAATAGTGTTAATTAAAATTTTGAATTGTAAAAGGCACGTCATCTATAAAGAGAAGTATAAACGTACTTTATCCTGAAGATTTATATCAACATTATATAATAGAAGAACTTTAATTGCCATACTAGAAGCAGTTTGGACAGCATAATGCATCAAAGTTGCCCCATCCTGTTAAGAAGGGTAGTAGAAATTTTTTGATAAGAGAAGGTTCAAATAAATTTAAAAAAAAAAAAAAAAAAGCCTTGCAACAAAAATTAGCTGAAAGCAAACATATATCATGGTACATTACTTTGGAAGTTTGGAATTTAGAAAGTAGGCAACATAATTCAACTTTTACTCGACTTCAGATAGGTATTATTGACATAAAATGTAAAAAATAAGATTAAAAAACTAATGGACGCTATATATTCTTTGTTTATAAAGATTAAAACATATACAGCTTGAAGACTTGATTTCTACAATTTCAATGTACAAACTACATCTCTATGTAATTCAAATGAGCATCAACAATTCATGCATAACGTCAATTACTGGTTTCAATTTTGAAGATAAAATGACAAAAGCTCCTCCTCAAAGTTTAACATCATTCCTTGAGGCTAGTCAACGGCGTAAGTGAAAATTTTAGCTAACCTTATCACGAACAAAAGGATTGGCACTTTCTCGTAAAAGATAATTAGTTATGGCTTGCTTTTTTGCAATTATGGCCCTGTGAAGAGCTGTGAAACCAACCTGTAAGCAAATATATACAAAAATGACTAAGGATTGATGAAATAACTGTAAATTAACTAAAAGCACGGACATTTTAGACATGTCTGTGTCCAACATTTGTTGGACACTCGGACACTCCAACACTTATAGGAAATGTATCAGGCACTTGTTAGTAGAATAGATGCGATAGATACTAGCTGTACAAAATCAAAAGCTGGTCTAACAATTGTTAAACCTGCATCAAACACCATTTAAGTATACTAAATAAGACAACTAATAAAATTTCAGAGCAAAATACATCAAACTAACTTTTTAAGCATATAGATGCAAAAATTCATTGATTTTGAACTTTCTTCTCATATAAAATGATATATATTTTTAAAAAATGTATATTTAATAAACGTGTCATTGTCATGTCCGTATCCTACATTTTTTAAAAAAAATGGCGTGCTGTCATGACTTTGTTGTATTCGTGACTCATATCCGTATTGTGCTTTCTAGCATCGAAGTGTTCCCTACCTTGTCCACGGCATTGATATCAACATTGTTTTTCAGTAGTTCATCTACAAGGTAAAATTCGCCAGATCCGACAAGAGTATGTAGAGGCAACCACATGTCCTGAACATAATTTCAAAAACCCACAAGTGGTTACAGTAGCTGAGTACTTTTTCAAATCCAAATCCGGGATATTGATAACTTTTTAAGTATATCAAAGACGAGTCAATCTAGCTAGCCTATAGAATATAACTTTAAAATACAATGGCCATAACAAGGCTTACAGAGTGAGCAGAAGCAAGATCAGGCACCCTTTTATTCAGCATAGCCTTTTCCTCTTTTGAAAATAACTTGCGAGGTCCTGTCCATGGAAGCATAACAGAGTAATTCATTGAGGTGAATGGATAATAACCAAAATCTAAAAGAGACACACAAGATTATCCTTCCAGTATTCATAGAGTCGAGCATACTCAAAATGTAAAGGATGACTGGTTAATTACTACTGGAAATGCTTCATTTAAGTTGCAACTCAAATAACCACATTCAAAATATAGGCAATACCTTCAGATTTTTTATCAGCAGGTTGATATTGTAAACTGTTAAAGAATTCTGAAACATCCTCCAGACCCCTACCATAAACCGCCCATTTGGGATTCTTTGGCGCCACACGCTCGCTCGACCCGCTAATTTCGCCCCCTTTCACTTCTTTAACACCTTCCGCCCTGTTAACTTCCTCAGTCTCCGGGAAACTAGAAGGATTATCAAGAACAAGTGGCTTCAACTGCGCCAACTTGGCCTCCTTAAACGACAAATACTCCTCCAAATTCACACTCCTCAAAGGAACAAGCCCTTGCTTCTTCTTCTCAACTCGAGTACCAAACTCCAATTCCTGAGCAATCTTCCGCCTCTCTTTCTTGGTGATGTTAATCTCCGCTTGCACTTCTTTCCACTCATCCGGCACCAGATTTTCGGGCTTAATTTCCACAACGCCGTTCTTTGGCTTAGACTTCGTTGTTCCCGGACTGTAATGCTCCGCATTCGAATCATCCAACGCATACGGGTCGTCAAACACGCCGTCTTCGAAGATAACGCAATCGCCGATAACGAAGTCTTCTAACTCATCTGGTTGGATAGAGTAAGAGTTGTGGGAAGAAGAATTAACCGAACAAACTCTGTTTGGGCGTCTGGGAAGAGATACGAAGGAAAGCTTGGTAGAATTGGGAAGAGAAAGCGGCGAATTCGAGAGGAAGACGACTTTAGCTACTGGAATATTGAGAAAAGCTGCGAGTGACATGGCTGGCTCCGATCGATTCCCGATGGCACTCACCCTCTGATGAGAAAATGGAAGAGATTTCTTCATAAAATTGGGCTACGGGTCCAAGCCCATAAGACTGCAGTTTGGGCTTCAGGCCCATTATCTGCAATTTATCGTGGGCCCAAGATATGATCGCTGGCTCAAAATTAGAACGAAATTGATTCTCAGATTATTTTAGTTTAACCATTCCAGCATAGTAAATTGAATCATTTAATTTTTTTTTAATACCATAGAGAAATTATTTATTTGTCACATATAATCTCATTTCACTAACTATATGGTATTTAGATTTGATGAAACATAGATCTTAAAAATGATGGGTCAGATGTGAAACTTGAAAAGTAATATTTTATTTGCGTCTATAGTAATTAATAAATATATTTAAAAATACTAAAAACCCAGAGATTATGGGAAGCCTAATAATTTTTTAGAAAGGAAAAAGAAAAATATACGAAAGACAAAGAGCAATGTTTTTTTATAGAACCATGTCAAAACACCAAATCAAAAGAGCATATGGTAACATTCTGGCAGTTGGACTGCTTAAAACTATGAGGTACAGACAGACGTTCGAGTACACACACACACAACCATCATCCACTGTAGGTCTTTTTTAACTAATCGCACCACAAAAGTACATTAAAAGGGGCAATATCACCTAGAGCCACGAGGATACCTCCTATCTGGACTGCCGCCGCCGTAAGGAGAGTAGGGAGGCGACCTAGAGTGATCCCTCCTTGATCTCCCACCACCATATGGTGGCGGTGAGTGTCTAGGGGAGTACTCTCGGGCCCCTCGATATGGCGAGCGTCTTGGGGATCGACGATGCCCATAGTCCTCACGGAAGGAGCCACCACGATACCTGCTACCTCGTTCGCCACGGTAGCCTAATACAATAACCAACAAAGTTATTTAAGGTAATGTTTAATCCACGGTAGCCTAATACAATAACCAACAAAGTTATTTAAGGTAATGTTTAAGTAAATTGCAATTTAAAGCACAGAATATATGAAACAACCATAGTTTTGAATAAATTGACAGGTTACACTTACCAGAGTCTCTGGTGCTTTTCAACCCCAAGTAGTGTCCTGGCGTTGGAGTTCTTGGCCGTTTCCTCCGTGACTGAAAGACAAAAAAGGTGTCATCTCACTTCTCTTGGTAACCTCTATGTCCCAAGACTATATAAAAGGGTTATATTGTTTGTATAGTTTTCAAGGTGAGCACTTAATGCAAAAACTAGTTTTGAAATTGTTCATAGGGGGGGACTGGCCACCTAAAATGGGCACACTTGATATCAAGAGTCGGGAAAAATTG